AATTAATTATTCCTAATATTCTAATTATCGAACAGATGCGAACAGGAATTGGAGGGCAATTGCCTTGAGAAATTCTGTAGCGGTGTAAGGGAAAAGGTGAGAGTGAAGAAGTGTGGAAAGCACGATTCATTGCTATGAAGAAGGTATAGTGCAGATTTTTGCAATAAAATTTGGCTATTGATTTCGGTACAGTACTTGGAAGTCCTTCGGAGTAATTCAGCACAAATCTCTGAAGGTTCAGAACAGGAAAATTGTGGAGGAAGTAATCGATTATGGGGTTTAGAGTGAAGTGGAGCAACGACTGTAGGAAAGAAATAGGGTATGAAACTAAGTAAATTATAAAAAAATTTATTTTGATTATTAATAGAATTTAGTTAATTTGGAATTTGTTGTCCTAAGTGTAGAATCATATATTTATTTTGTCAAAGAAATATATAGAAGGAAGAAGAAATTTAAGGAAAAGGGAATCAAGGTTAGTAATTTGGTAAATGCTTAGTGCAGATTTCCATTTAGTAGTAAATGTTCTTAAAGATGATGTATCTTATGGTGTTCTAGATTCATTTAGTCATATGCAAAGAGAAAGTTTTGAAGTGACTTACAATCATATAAAAGTTTAAAATAGAGGATTGGAGGAGGCACCTCTCAGCATGGAGGTAAGTAACACAAATATATTTCAAATATAATGACTTTCATTTACAAGCATGGAGGTTAATTTGAATGCATTAAAGAAAAATGGTATTATATTTATTTAATGTATAGAAAGGATTTTTACATCCAAATTTTCAAATATGAATAACCATATACATAATTTAATTATATGAGTTTAAAATAAGATTTAGTGTGTTAATCTAAATATTTTCCTATTTGATAATATTTTTGAAATATGTCAATTTCCTTGCTTATTATATGCATATTAATTGTATATATATGATAGCATAAATGATTATGAAAGCATACAACAACTCAAGTATGACTTATGAATACTGGAAAGTTTAATGAATATTAATTTAAGTAAAAGTTTGACTATAAAATGATGTATAATTTATAATTGTGAGTAGGGAAAAAGGGTTCCTACATATGACATTGCATTGTAAATAGGGCAAAAGTGACCCCAAAAATATGAGACCTACATAGCATGTTGGGCAAATGGGACCCCTAAAAGAAACAAAACTAATCTCTATATAATTTAATGGCGATAATGTCAGATTTAATTGGGCTCCATTGAATATGTTTATAAAAGTATGGTCAAATCTTTTAAAGACTAAAATGATTATTTAGTGTCTATGTCAAATGAAATAAATGATGATGTCAAATATGACTTTATGATATTTTACAAATAATGACAAGTTAATTCAATGATGATTTCAATGTTGTAATTTATTATAATATTACATTTTAATTATTATTTAATTTGCATAGCTTATCGAACCTCATAATTCACTAGTATCTTTCTTATTTGTTGTTGTTACAAGAAAGGGAAAGGAAAAGGTTGAAGAATATTAATTTTCAAGTATGTTAATTGTATATGTTAACATTTATCTCTGTTTGTAAGTCTACATCTGAGATATATAAACAGTTCAGTGAGTTCTTATTTTGGATTTAGTAGTGGCTTTGTAACTATGTCTTATTAAAGTTTAAAAATTACTAGGTGCTTGAGTTGATGTGATGAATGAAAACTGTTGGATTTTTTATAAAAAAATTTAAATGTTCAAAAGTATTATATGAATGATTGATAAAAATGTTATGTTTATGATAGTAATACTCCCAGTACTATTAAGGGATATTGTGGGTTGTTACACCTTTGCCATAGAACTAAGGAACGCAAGATTAGGTTTTATGTGCAGATAATTTTACACCATTTACCTAATCTTCATCATGTTACTCATGTTGGCACATGATACTCACTCGTTACAATCTTCCTCCAAAGTTGTGTATGACTACACCCTACATGTTTATGACACTTATTTCTCCAGGGTCACATAATTTAAAGGTAAAAGTAGACATGTTCTTGCAACCTTTAGTCAATGACTTAAATTTATTGTGGAATGAAGGAGTTGCCACAAATGATAAATCTACCAAACAAAATTTGACATTGAGGCAACGTTACTTTGGACAATTAATGACTTTCCAATATATAGTATGCTTTTCTACTTGGAGCACTGTAGGCAAGCTAGTTTGCCTATTTGCATGAAAAATACTAAATCATTCACTTTGAAGCATAGAGGGAAAAACACTTGGTTTGACTTTCACCGCATATTCTTACGTGTAAACAATCCATTCAGGTGAAATAATGATGATTTCACTAAAAATAGAGTGGAGACAACGCAGCCTCCACCAAGGTTAAGCAGTGAGAAAATATTTGAAAGAGTAAATTTTATACTCGCAATAATTAATTCTCCATCATTAGCTGTTCACAAAATACTCTGGTATGAAGTTACTCACAATTGGACAAAGAAGAGTTTTTTTGGTCTTTGTCATATTGGAGAACAAACATGATTATACATAATTTGGATGTGATGCATATAAAGAAAAATATTTTTGATAATGTGTTCAATACAGTGATGGACATCAAGGGAAAATCTATAGATAATGTAAATGGTAGGATGAATTTGAAGAATATTTACAGGAGGAAAATGTTTGAGTTGAAGGAAAATGAAAATGGTAAACTTCTTAAGTCAAAAGCTCCATTCACCTTCACTTTAGAGCAAAGGCAAGCGGTTTGTGAATGGGTGTAGGGCCTAAAGCTACTTGATGGATATGCTTTCAAACTTTTTTTTTTTAGATATGCTTCCAACCTTAGTATATGTGTTGACATAATACTGAGGAGGTTGTTTGGATTGAAAGTCATAATTGTCACATCTTCATGGAATATTTGTTGCCCATTGGTTTCAGTTATCTTCCAGATTCAATTTCAAACCCCTTAACCGAACTAAGTATCTTCTTCAAGGACTTGTGCTCATCAAGACTTAATGAAGAAGTTTTGTTCTATATTGAGCATAACATTCTTTTTATCTCTTCACAATGGCACAATCTGTTTGGCGATTGAAGGTTGTTTGACCACTTAAGTGACATGTGGCGCCCATCAACCGTCGCTTGAGCTACCAATTTTACCTCTTTTTATGTGCTTCTTAGTATATGGGCCAACAAGAATTTATACTGCCTCAACATTAGTTACATTGTTTATCATATTTACAACAACAACAACAGTAACATCATCAAGCTTTTATGTCACTACGTGAGATCAGCTACATGGATCTTTTTTTATATTGTCCTTTTAAGAGTCAAATTTTTATTTAAATATAATAAAAAAAGTTATTTTTAATATTTTCTAACTAAGTTATTTTAGGTCTACCTACCTCTCTTAACATAGGTCAAATTTAATACTTTTTTTTAATACATCTCTCTTAATCGGGTCATTAGAAGGCCACGTCTTATGTGACCAAACCATCTAAGGCAACTCTCCCTAATCTTATCTTCCATTGTAGTTATTCATGTAATGATTAGTAGGCAAGTTTTACGCTGATTGTCGACTACCTAATGCAACCATTCACTCTTCTCATCCAGGACTTGAGAACTGGCAATGACGGTGTTCGTATTTTGCTTAAAGTTCAAGTTTTTACCATCAATTTTAGTAGTTGGGTCCTGTGGATGTTTTGGTCCCTCTTTTTTATTTGGCTAGTTTAACTTGCGTGAGTTAGCGAGTTAGCAGTTCAATGATCAAGCTATAATTTACTCTTTTAGTTGCTACTCGACCTTATGGCTGCGATTTTGGGTGACCCCTGAATGTTCTGTTTGCCTTTCATTGCTGCCCGTTATGAATTCATCTTTATTTAGCTTTCAAATGATGAGGATTTGCATTGAAGGTGCCTTTCTTAGGACAACACCTGTGAGCTTTCTCTCATCTTTTTATTGTTTCATAGAACAACTAGTTAGAAATTTTTATGATTCGATTGGAACGGTTGCAACTTTTTATAAAAATTATTATAAAACTGTTAAGGAGAAAGTAAATTTTTTAAAAAAATTACTATAAAAAGCTGCTTCCAAGCACAAAAAAATTTTGAAAACATAAAAGAATAAAAATCAAATAAAAATTGAAGTTACAATTTGAGGAAAAAAAAAAGTAGCAAAAAAGAAATCCAAAACTCAGCCACCTCTACCATCTGCTGATTCCTGATGCTCCTTCTAAGTAAGAAATGATTCCTGATGCTCCCTTCTATGTTCGATTAATTATTTTGTGCGGACACAGGATGTCATCTGAACTTCATTATGTATCGCAGCTGTGTACCAAATGACGTGGCGCATTATGAGCTACATCCAGTGTCCGCACTGAATAATTTCTCTCCATGTTCAGCCCTTCCCTCTTTTTGATTTTGGTGTATCACAGGCTGCATTTATACCTCTCTACTTCTTTAACACATGAAATTTACTTCCCTTTCATTTTTAATAGCTATAGCGCCCAATTTCCTAACAAAGTTAATATTGTGATGTGATTGATTACTGGCCTTCCTTCAAAAAGAATCCAATCCTACCATTCCAAACAAAAATCTACAAAGTTATTCTTTCAATGGAAAATAAATGCCATGGAACCCCAAGTCAAAACTTTGACGGAGATTCATTTTTTACTAAGATGTAACGGCTTTCTTGCCATCCAGAAGCTCGAATACTTCCCACAAATATACAGGAAAAAAAAAATACTGAGATAGGATTGTCGAGAACCAGATGGTGCCAAGCCATTTGGATGTTCATTTTGATTAGCCAAGAAGAACATCATTTTTCTTGTCCAGAAGGATTGAATATTCACCGTAAAGAGAAGCACGAAGAAATATTCTGTGCGGAGTGCGGAGGGCATTCGGAGGCCAACAAAAATGCGTCATGTCATCTCATTGGTGGGTACCCAGCTCAGTACCCGCACTTGATACTGCTGGGTACCCAGTGCTTAACCGGACGGTTCTCCCATCCGATCTCCGTACAGAATAAAACAGCCCAAATACCAGCAGACAGAAAAAATTAATTATTTTCATTTGACATATAGACATCACAGTAACATATTATGGTTTCAGCAGAAATCTCATTAATATATATATTCTTCTCTTGGTAAATAAAGGAATTCTGTAAAGATATTCATCATTACATGCAAGAAGTCAAGAGCTGTCTTCAGTGTCATCATCTTCAACCTCGTGCACAGCCTGAAGAGGACCCCTTCCAGAAAGCAACCCGCTTTCAGATGTGTTAACTGGCCAATTTCCAAATAGGCAGATCTGGGGCTCTATTCTGTTGAGTCGATTCCACTCTTCGTCTGACAACGACCAATCGAAAATATCAATGTTCTCTATAATTCTATTAGGCTTTAGGCTGCAAGGTAAGACACTAGTGCCTCTTTGTAATCCCCATCTCAAAATCACCTGTAAGATGTAGAGTTACATAGCATCATGATTTTATAACTATAATGGCTTTCATGTTGAGTCAAAATTAACAAAATTAAGGTTTTGTTTGGGACGGCTTTCTTACTGCTTCTTAAAGCTACTTTCTAGTAATTTTTGTACTAGAAAGTAACTTTAAGAACCAGTAAGAAAGTCATCCCAAACGAAGCCTAAAGCTGTCAAGAACCAAGATATTCAAAATGAATGATATAAGAGATTGATGGACATAGAAGGGAAAGGCCAAGCTTCAACAAGTTAGATGAGAAAGTCAAGTTTTTGTATACAACAATTTCAAGTCAATGTTCAGCAGGCCAGATTTCTCTTCAAAAAAAAAAGGTGATGAAAAGGGAATTTGATTGATATGATCACATTTTTTAGAAATAAAAAAGCAACCTTCATCCATTGTAGAGATAAGACTACATAGATCTCTCTCTCTCTCTCTCTCTCTCTCTCTCTCTATAGAAGTTTAAAAGAATATCTACATAAAAATGTCTATAGTTTACTATAATGGTCAACATGAACAAACATAAAACAGATAATTTTGAAGTAAACATTGTTCTTAGTTAGTGGGAATGTTCAAATCAAAATAAACTTATAATATGACATTCTTCTTTCATGATAACACTTGGAAACAGTTTATTCTCTTTGCCATTACACAAGGCATAAAAGAGGGTAAAAGGAGGCAATTCTAATTGTAGGAAATAAGGACAATTCCATATTGACAATAACTTAGAAATTTAGTTGAAGCTCTTCACTAGACCATCAACAAGAACCATCTCAATATCCTTGATGATATGAGAAAATGATAGTTTCTGTCAAAACCAACATTCTACAGCTGTTGAAGAGTATCGATAATAAATGAATAAAGCCAACCCAGATGGTGCCAAAACTATAAGGTAGTTTTTTTAACTAATCCTATGCATACTATGTCAGGAAAGGAGCACGCCAAACTTGATGATACCAAAATGCTTACACATAAGTATGACGAACAACAAATAATAAAAAGAAATCAAGAATCATAAAAAGAGAACATCAAGATTTATAAGGATTGGATTACGCAAGCCTATGTTCACAAGAGAAGAAAAAAGATTCGATCCACTATGTTGAGCACCAACAAGAGACTTATTGTTGATCCATGCATTAAGAATCACAAAAAAGAACAAATCGACGACACAAGCAGCAATCAAGCAGCACGATGCGCTACTAAAGTGCTCAAACTGCGTTCAATCGCATCTTTTGTAATATTGCCTAATGGACCAAATCATCTAAAAATGATTGTAATATTGGAACGACCAAATCATCTAAAAATGATTGTAATATTGCCTAATGGACCACACGCGCGAGGAAAAAAACACCAATCTCGAGAAAAACAGCATCAATCTCGAGGAAAAAATGCGTAAATCGAGGCACAAAATTCTATTTCTATTTTATTAGTCTGTCATAATAAAAAATTATTATTAATTTTAATAATACTAATGAATTTGATTTATGTTTCTAATGCTCTTCCGTACGATCGTCTGTTCCCGCCCCGATATTATCGGGCTAGCCGGGCCGGGTCGTGACATGTACACTCCAGCAATCCTGGCCAACGCTCTGCTCCAACCCCAATCAATTCAGTCGAACCCGCCAGCTCTCCTGTTCGCAAGCCGTAACCTCAGCATCAGCTCGAATCTTGATACCACCTCCCTCTCATAGCCAACTTGTTTCTGCTCCTCCCAGCCAAACAATACCCAACCCTTGCTCACTATGTCGAGCTCTCCTCCAATTGAACCAATAGCTCACACCAACAACCTTCTCTCCCTCTGTTATTATAATTATTATTTAAAAAAAAAAGAAAGAAGAAAATAAAAAAGAGAAAAAATATATTTGTGCACGTTTTCGTCGCCGCCGTCACCTCAATACCTCCGTCATCATCTCTCGCACAAAGTATAATCTTCTCTAAACTTTAAAAAAAAAACCCAAATCTAGTTTTTAGCGCTTGTGGCGCAATGAGCAGACCACCTATGTGCACTTTTCTTAACGCGATGGGAGAGAGCTCGGTGCTACTTTTGTGATTAGGTGAGCGAGCCTTGGGGATACTTTTCTTAGTGTTGCGGGGTAAAACTTAAATACCCGTACGCGCTCAGGCTGGTGTGGAAAATTTGCAAGTCTTTCGCACAGGTACCTATGCAACTCATGCATGCCTTTCTTGGCATTGTGGGAGTTTCAAGTAAACGCAATTTGCATGCAATCAATATCACCTAATGGCAAACAGACATGACAACCCGCCTGCAAATGATAATACTTCTTACAAATATATACAAGAAGACTACAATGAATGTCATGATATGTTTATGACCAAAACATGAAAAATATGCAACAAATGTAACAACCTCCCTATGATCAATATCAAATAGCTTGCAAATGAATATGTTAATTCCCTACAAACAATGGCGATTGATGTATAATGAATGCCATAGATTTGGGAGAGCCGGATCTTCCTCTCTAATTGAATATCAAATTGTATCTCATGTTTTTCTTCTTAGTTCCCTCAATAAAAAAAGAGTTATTGTATGTTCTTCTTCCTAAATTTCTTGTGTCACTCTTAGGTTTTGCTGAAATTGCATCCAATTCCTATCATATTAGGATACACAAAAATTTCAAATTTTGCAAAAGTTTTTTTTTTTTTCCAACCAACTATAAAGAAGCACTTTGATTGGTTAATTGGCACCAAGTTGGACAAGTTGCATGTGAGAAATATGAGGAGAACACAAATAAGAAATTCTAATTAGCGACTTTTATATGGATGAAACAAATTCAAGTATTCTTATAAAGAGAAGTACTGAAAATATGCTAAATTTGAAAATTTTAATCCTTTTCTGAGTGGAGAAGGTAAAAATTTTAACCTGTTCAGGTGTCTTCTTATGATGTTCGGCAATGTCTCCAACAACAGAAAGCTTCAGCATTGGTCCATGAACCGATCTCGATCTTCTGAAAGCTATTCTAGGAGTTCCAGGCTCATCTTCTGAGCCACTATCTGAAAAGCCAGAACCTGTGTTCATGCTAGGATTACTTGCAGGCACTCCCAGAGGAGTATGAGCTGAAACATGAATACCACTCTGTTGGCAAAACTTTACAAGTTCATCCTGCCTCCAGAATGGATGCAACTCCACCTAGCAATAACCAATTTATTTATATTATTTAAAACCACTGCAAGTTATGTAAGATCATGTTTGAAGTTGGTGTAGATATCTCCAGTATGTAAATGGCCGATAGAAAATAGTATCTTAAGAAATACAAGCAGCTTATAACGCACAAAATACAACATTTAGTTAGATCCAAATAATCATAACCTATCAAACTAAAATGGTTGAATGCAGTTATACATGATGTCATTTCTGATTATCCACCAATGTGATCATATTGCTTTTAATCAGTGAGATCTCTGCTGAAAAGAGCAAACAGCTAGAACAACAGAGGTAAAAAACCGGTAGGCCCGACAGTCGGGTTCATCAGAGAACCAGAATAGCACAAAATCGGTAGAAAACCGGTAGGCCCGACAGTCGGAACCAGACCGCAAAACTGGCAATCGGTGTCGGTTTTCAAAAACTGCTCGGTTCGGTTTATAAGGAGAAATTAGCAAATAAAAACCTAATATTCCCAATTGAGCTCATATTCCTTCCTGTATCCCGTCGCCTGCTCTCACATCTTGTTCAAACATCTAGAGTGTAGCCTCTCGAGTCTTCCGCATCCCTCTTCGTTCGTTCGTCAACTCAACGAGGGCTAAGGTGACAAAGGCATTATTCCTCTTCGGCATCACATTCATTTCTCTATTTTGCTTCAAATCTAAACGGTGGAATGTAAGTTTTTAAAAACCCTAATTTTTCTAAGTTTAGTTTTGATAATTTTTTTAATGTTTAAGTTGAAAAGATTTTGGTATGAGCTTTTTATATGTTTGAATTGGGATTTGATTTTAATCTTGAAAACCCTAATGAAGATAATGCAAATTTTAACAAAGTTATTTTTATCAATTAAAGTAAAATTGATTTTGTTCTTGATTCTTCGTTAATTAATATTGTTTTTGTATTAGCTTTTTGTATATTTTGAATTAGGTTTTGGTATTCCTACAAGTTAGGGTAGATAAAATTCATTTATAGTATTTATTTTTTATTTGATTAAAAATAAAATAGAACTGAAGAATGTATGCATTCTTCAACACCCAATGCACAAAAGAGGTTGACAAAATATATGCATTCCTCCCCCAATGCAATGTCGTTTGGTAATCCTGTGTGAGAACCAGGAGCCACAGGATGTCCAGACCACCTCGTGCGGGAACATGGAGCCGCAAGGCATGTCGTTTGGTGATATTGTTTGAATTACAATTACTCTCCATTTATTATGTTAGTTATAAATCATGCTTAAGTTATTTGTGAAATATTTGTTTATGATTTATAGACTTACTTGATGCCACATTTGTATTGTGTTATTTGTTTATGTTTTATATATTTAATTAATGCCACATTTAAGTGTTTTGATTAGTGTGATATGAAAATGGAGTTTAGAGTGAAGGTAATAAGTTTCAATGAAATCCATAAGTCATATGATGTTAAATGGTTGAGGAGGTGAAACTAATTTTATTAATTTTTAATAATATTATTATTTATTACATCATCAAGTTCGACCGATCGAATTGTGAACCTCTCTTTCTTCCGATTCGTTGTCCGGTCTGATTTTCAAAACATTGTATATATCCGATATAACTTCTTGATCTAAGACTAAGTGAATAAAATTTGTTAAGGCACGTGAAAGGTTTAGGTTTAGACAGGTTAAATACGTAAACAAAATATATTGGTATGACAATACCAAGTGATTGACTCCCATTACTAGGCTCAAGCTTTTAGTTTGACAATAAATTTGGCCACTAATGCATCAGACCCAACTTCAATTCTCTTTTGATTTACACACTATGGGTAGTATTAAAGCAAATGGTTTCGATAGGATCGATCCACAAGCTTATAGAATTTGTGGCTCTTAAGGAACTTGGTCGACTTCTATAATGATTAAGAAAAGTACAAGGATGAGTGACTCTCATGATGAATACATGTGAGGTGAGCTATTAGTGATTAAATGATACTTGAGGAGCTTCCATTTAAGAGGAATTAATCGATGTGAGCTCTAATGTGAGGCGGAGATTGCAAAGACATGTGAATGGTTTGGATGTGGGTGTAGAAATATTAAGGAATCGGCGTTCATCTATAGGCATAACATTTTGGGTTGAATATAAATTTAACCATTGGTGCATTTGCCCCAACTATAACTGCCCACTTGATAAAAAAAGTGGAGAAATGCCTTAGGGGTACTTTATTTGAAGATAATTTTATTTACTTAAAAGGGTGAATTTTATAAAGTTGCACTTAGGTTGTTATAAAGATCTCAATGTTGTATGATAAGATAGTTACTAATAATCGGTTTTAGTAAAAATAAAAATATTAAGATAGATGCGTATCAAAATTAAAAGTGTTACATTGAGAAAGAATTATATAAGATAAATATGTAACACTTATTAAAAATATGATAATTTATGAAAATAGATTTACACGGTTCAAGCATTCAAAATAAAGAGCAGAAGATTAATCAATAAGATGGATAAATAAAATTAATGTGGAAGAATTATGATTAAAAACTAGGTGGACCAAAAATAACATGGACTAAAGTTATGCAAAAAGACTTATGAGAGAGAAATTTCAGGGGTTCACGTACGTACAACACTTCCCCCCTAAGCTTGAGCTTGAGAAAATACTTTCCTCCAATTTATTAGAAAGCTTGAAAATTTGAAGTGGACCCAAGCCTCAGCAAAAATATTTTCTAATTATTCTGAGCTGAGAAAATGAGTGACAATGTTCTTTAGTAGTATTGTTTCTCGAATAACATCGCAAGCAACGCCAATGTGTTTTATTCTTTCATGAAACATAAGATTATTAGTACTAGACATAACGGCTCGATTGTTATAGTTTAGAACCATATGTTGAGTAAAATGGAAAACCAATTTCCACTAGAAGGATCTTAAACCATATCATTTCACACACAATATGATGGTTCTATATTTTCCTCTGCATTTGATATGGCCACCACTATTTGTTTCTTTCTCTTCTATAAAACCAAATAATCCCCCACCAAAATACAATCCCTTGATATGAATTTACTATCATCAATGGACCCAACATAATCCATATTAGATAAAGCTTTCATATTAAGGTGTTTCTTCTTTTTATATAGAAGTAATTTTCCAAGGGACTTCTCTTTATATATTTTAGGCGAAATCTCTGTGAAGTGTATTATTTTAAGCCCAATCTGTCTTCTGAAAATTTGTCTCGAAACTTAATTCCTTAAAACTCTCCTGAAAGCAAGGGAGGCCGGGCACGAATTTTCGGAGCCCACATGAATATAATGAAATCATTCTTTGATGACAATCAAAGCTTTTATGAGGTAATTAGAATTTCTTGTTGCTTGATAAAGCTTATGGAAGCATGATAAAATAAAATTTCTTATTCATAAATATATGCCTTGAAACTTGTATCTTTGTTCTTTATTAACTCCCCCCTTCTTCAAAGACATTTCTCCAGGAGACATAAATATTTGATAGTGGATTAATGTGATGCTTGAGTTATTAAATACTTTGGTTATGATCAAAATAGAATTATGACTCACTTTATTGAAAGATAATAATCCAAGAAAGCAAAATTTAAATGAGAAAACCCAAAGTGAGATCAAATTTTTTTTTCTTGATTACAAGAAAGGAAATATTTTAATCTAATCAACTTTCAAAAAGGTTAGTTTGGGCAACCAAATCAAGTAAGAAAATAAAGTCATCACACCCTTAACTTCTTGAAGAGGTCATTAGAAAATAATAATTTCAAATTATAGATGAAAAGAAGCCAATGAGATGTGGGGTGGATACTTCTCCTTTATCACAAGAAAGAAAATTCTTTAAATGAATGAACTTACAATAAAAGGTTAGTACATGTCACCAAATCAAGGGCCAACACCCGAAGCCACTAAGCTCTTAACTTCTGGAAAAGGAGATTAAAAAAATTCTAGATAAAAAAATAAGTTATTGAGGAGTCAAAACTAAGATAAGAAACAAGTATTAAAAGAAAGAAGAAATCAATGAAGTTATTCTCATACCCAATGAGATGGATCTTACTTAGTTCTTATACCAAGTTGATAATATATCGAAGATGATGGTGAATGACGATATACTAGGAGTTGATCTTGGCCATGGTGAAATAATGGACACAAAGCCTAGACATATAGAATATAGATTGGTGGAGAGGAGAAATAACACCGTCATGAACTATAAAAAAAAAATCACATACTTTATTCATGATTAAAATAAAATTTAAAATATTATTTAATGAAAAACTAACCAAAATTCTCATAGGATAAAGCCACAAAGCCCTATTTATGAAAATGCACAAAGCATTCTACATCATAAAACCCAAGCTTAGTTTCTATTATAATGCTATGACATATTTATAGCTATTACATGATAATTACACGAATAAAATTATTCAATAAATTTCATTCATGGGATTGCCATATCCTCTTTAAAATTGAAATTTAAAATTACATTAAATAATGCTTTATGGAATCCTCCTTAATTTAAGCTTTATTTCAAAGAAGAGAGTGTGTAGAGTGTGTTTAATTTGAAATTATCTCAAATAATACTTCATTAACATTACTTCTCCTTAATTTAAGTCTTCCTTGAGGGGAGAGAGTTTTTTTTTTTAATTTGAAGTTTGAATTTGCCTCCAATAATTCTTCATTAGAATAACTTCTCTTAATTTAAGTTATTTTTCAAAAAAGAGTGTTATTTAATTTTAAATTTAAAATTGCCTCCAATTATACTTCAGTGGTACAACTCCTTAATTTCAACCTTGCTTCAAGGGAGGGAGTGTTGGCCAAAATTTGACATGGCTTATCAGACATTTAAATTTAAGGAGACGCCATAAATTGAAGAGAGACAAATAGCCAAAAAATTTATGAGTGGAGGTGGAGGGTCAGCTAAGAACAGAATCTCCATAAGTATCATTAAACTTTGATGCCACATAATTAATATAATAATATCATTCTTAGGTTGAAATCCAAGCCTTTTAGAGGCAACTAATATTTC